GAACCGGGATCTGATCGGGATTTGATCCCGTGATCATATCTCTAGTGGCTCACCTCTTGGCTCTACCCTACCTCTATCCCTTTGAATAGTTTGAGTTTATCATGCAAACTCAGAAAAGCTCATTTCTACTGCCTGAATGAAAAAATCCTCTCCTATGTGTTCCATGATCGCTTTCAAAAATGGTGCCTGCCCAGTAGCCTACCTGGCACTTTACGCAGCACTCTGTGTTACGTAACAAGACGGAAGTCGTATTGCGCAGTAACACCTGCACCGATGTCATTGTATAATTTCATCTTACGCTCGCCTGCTCCATTCAGAAATTCCTGATTAGATTGACCTCGGTCACGAAGAAATTGAAAATAATCTCCGTTCTGACACGCTGCGAAATTGATGAATTAATAAGATTTCCGTGGTCCCCTGAGAAATGAGATTTCTGGTCCCAGACGGTAATTACTGGTTTTGATTCGAAAGCATCGCTCGATGATGTCTTCTTGCCACTAAAATTTGATTAGATAGCTCTTGGACTGGGGAAATTATTTTTTCTCATACATGGGGTCAATCCGGCGCCGTAGCAAGGTCCATTGTTTTTGTATGTTGTCTCTGACATTGAAGAAAATATAAAAAAGAATATTTGTCCGTTGAAATTGAGGTATCTGGGCGTTCCTCTCATCATTTGGGATGCTGTTTCTCGGGGCTGTTTTATTAGGAACGTCTCATAAACTAATGAAAAAAATGACTATCAGTACGTGAAATGATAAATCATCCATATCCATAGGTTAGATGGTAGATCCCTTAATTTTTTCTTTTTCTCAGTCAGCTTCAGACTTATGGACAGCATTGATGTTGATCCTAATCAAGGAAAATGGATCGTATTTCCTTTTTGCGCAATATTTACCTCCAACTACTTCTGAATGAACTGATTTATGATATTCGTTGCGTAGGTGGGAAATGTTTATCTATGTGTAATGAAATCGTTCACCTGAGATTAATGGCTAGGTGTCCTCGTCAGAACTGTCAGTCATTTTCTCAACTATCGTCCACGATGATGATGAGCAATCGACGATAATTTGCCACTTAATCGTTGATGACCCACGTCAACGTCCCCCGTACCGGAATGTTCCTGGTCCTTGCTCAGAAACTACACTTAAGTACCGAATCGTCTAGCTATATTCGTGTTCTATCTCTTATAAAGTGTGTCTTCTAACACTCAGACCTAATGACACATCTCATTGAAGTCATTGATGCGTCAATAGCTACGGTTTTGATGCCTATCGACTCTTCAATAATCTTGGCATGTTCACAGTCATCTTGGTGTTTTGATTCGTCCTCTGAGATTGATAACAGCTTTTACTCGTTGGTTTCTTCCTTGGTGTCTGCCATGTCAAAAAAATTCTTGTAATTATTCAGGTGATCATATAAAGACCGAATGGTACCGTTTTCCTCCCTGCGAATCAGGGAAACGGCAGCTCCGACTTCCTGTATTCTTCAACATCCGTCATTTGGATTCATATTCACTTTTGAGATCGTTTGCTCCTCCTATCCGCAAGCCCAGGTTCACGTGAATTTTGAAAATTTCAGAAACCTTTCTGCGGGGCTCAGCTTAGAACAGAACAGGCCCAACGAGACCCGAGGGTTATTTACTAGAAGCTCTGCTAAGGGTTTTTCAAATCTTGAGGCTTTCATAAACGGATTTTTTCCTGACCGCATCGTTGATGTGAATCGTCAAATTATAGAAACATCTGCTCGATCTGCTTGTTCGAATCAGGCCTCTCAGAGGTCAATCTGCTCCTGTATGGTCATCGACGGATTCGTTCTGTTCCGACTGTGATCTTGTGAACACCGTCTTGAATTAGGCTTGTCAATTCCGTGATACCGTAGTCTGCAAATTTGCGCCTTTCCTGATGGATTGATTATCAGATCGATACGACCTTTTCATGCGTTCTCATTATTCATTATCGCACCCCTAATCGTATCACCAGAAGATCCGGTCCAGCCTAAATTGGAAATCCGAGATCGGCCTGAGCCTTCTCCATTCGTATCTGTTCCTATCCTTGTGATGTTCACCAGTTGACGCCGAAGTGCTCTCTTATGACCCGTCCTTTGAGAAACTAAATAGCTATTTGAGTATGTAATTACCTCAGATTAGTACTAAGGGGTTTCCTGTTTGCCCATTCTGAGAGTGTCAGATTACGAAGTCGTTGACCACATCGTAACCTTACACAAATAAAGCGAGCTTCCTGGAATTCGATGCCTTAGGTCTTAGGTAAGCAAACATTGCATACAGCTAGCTAACTACACATTGCAACCTGCTACCGGTAGGAATACTTGCCTTTTTGAGAGGATTAGATCGGTTTTTCTGTTGACAGGACTTTAATGGTCTAGGAATGGGTGAACAGGTGTGGAAGGAAAACAGGAGAACGCAGAACAGCGTGACCTTCCGACTAATTTTATGTAACTGAGACTAATACCCTAGTACAGTATGATGTCCTTCAAGGTTCCTTACTTTGGTGCTCAAAAGTAATCAAGTTTCATTTGACAGTTCCGATACTCATTTGGTGCTGACCATACATGGTCATACAAAATTCAGTTCCATTCATAAGTTTTGCCCCCTCCCCCTTTTCTCCCCAATGTACTCATGGCTCCGTGGTCATCCTTTGATGATATAACTGTGCGCATTTATATGGCGACACACTAACTTTTATCCCTTCCACTCTCTGAGGCAGTTTTGCAATTTGTGATAGAGACCGCTCCCTCTTTACGCTCCATGATCTTCATTTATCCAGTGTGCACAGGTACCCCTCTTGCCACCCCGCTAACCTTTCATCGTGAGCCGTCTTTTCTAATGGTTACAGTTCCATTCAAGGCGACATTTGGGACAGTTTTGTGAAAACGGTGCTGTGGTTTCAATTGTAACGGAACTCGGTTCCAGAAATGAGTAGTCCGTGGAACCGAGCCCCGTTACAATTAAAACCTTATGGTTAGCACAATTCTCACAAAGCAGTAGCAGCCCATTACCATGTGAAAATTGCTGGGGCCGATGGTGCTTGGTGCCGTTCTATTTGCTTTTGTTCGCGCCTTTATCCCTTTGTGCGTAACCCGAGCAAATCGTCCCATTAGATAACGACCATCGCTCTAAAATATTTGGAGTGGTCGGTGTAGTTGTAGGAAATTTTTCAGGTAACACTGATATCTATCAATACTTAGCCTATTGCTTCATGGATTTTTTTTCTTCCTACCCTTTTAGGGTAATTTAACTGACAGCTCTGGATCGTCTACTGACCTACATCTAATATAATTTAGGTTTTGGTAGCCAGTCCGTAGTGCTTCTTAGGTGTAGCTAGGATTCCTACTTGGGTATGTATTTCTAGCTAGGGAGGTTAGGTGGTTATATGCTGACATATCGCTTTGTCTTTTCAAACTGTAATCAAGTCATGTGCATATCTACTAATACAGTACTTTTTGCGACCATTTTAAATACCCACTTAGGTAAAAGGTGGTCACCTTCACAATTGTTACTTGTCTTCACAGCGGGAACCACATTGGATGGACAACGCCCAAGTACAAAGGCAAGGGGTCACAGCTCAAAGACAATACCCATGTGGCGCCAGGTTGTGACTTAGGCCTTGACCATTTCTTGACTCTTTCTCGTATATGGCCACTTGACTGAACGACTTATCCGGATTGTTTCGTTCAAATTCGAGGCCTCAGAGAGAATTCTTTAACTATTGCTATTACGGATCGATTTTGACCGCTTACATTTGTTCGAAAGGGCTCCCTCTGTATGTCTATTCTAGGACATATTCAGTTCTTCTCTTTTTACAAAGTGGCAGCTGTTCGACATGTCCTTCTTTTGCCGTTTTCGGATCAAGCTTCTCGGAAGGCTACCCCAATTTCTTCTTCTCTGTGGCTCCACTTCTCAGTGTACGGTGGAGGGTGGAGCTGAACAAGGAAGAGAAACGGTCGACTTCCATAGACCTCTCCCAGATTTTTTTGCGGGCTTTCCAGGAAAATTCCATTTTTCAAATTTTTGAAAGTTTTTGTTACTCCCCTGGCGACATGGATTCTGTGATGTTTGTCATTTGCTGCCACTCAAGACAAGTTGAGATTGTTTTGTGTTAAATTTTCTCGCTCAGTTGTCATTGTTTTGTCTCTGTTGATTGTTGACGGCTTTTCGCGATCGATCACTCGAGCGACATTGAAAACAGTCACGAATGTCACTAGAGCATGCCTATGGCCAAGTCTCGCTTCTGGGACGCGTCATATGTCCACCACGACGATTGATGCAGCAATGGTCTCTGCTTCTTTGTTTTTTGAGCCTGAACTGAGCTCGAAACTTTCATGGACATCGGCTTCCTGATGTATCCATCGGAATCATCGGATGTATCCGTCGGATTGCGATATGGTGTTTGTTTAGATTTTCTTTGTAATGTAGCTGAAACGACCATCTCATAACAGTGAAGATCTCGACGAATGATAGCCTGGAATCGATCCCGAAGGATACTCGAAGAACTCATTCTTATGGGAGTTTTGAGCCATCAAGTTCACTAAGTGAGGCTATGCTCCTTTTGGGAGAATCTTCATGCCAGTGAAAGGCCTAATTTGGCAAAATTACAATTATTGAAGGCAAATCACAAGGATTAGATGGCGATCGGTTTGGTGAAGGGGTTAAATGAGCGTTATCGTTTCAATTCCCAGTTTACGGATGAATGAATCGTCACGTAACAATCTGCTGCCGAAGAATAGTATGGAAGAGCTAGCCGCCATGGCACTCCCATTACCGGCGCCTTCACTATGTCAAAGGAGGTGCTATCACCCAGCGATGATTACATTACGCCTCATTTGAAATTGCGGCGAAGATCAGAGTAGTTTCGCTTGCGCAAATCCTTCACAGAATAGCGATTCTTCTAATCTTCACCATCAGGCGTTTTGGCAAAACATTACGGTCCATTGCGAACTAGTTTTTCTGAAAGGCTAGCGACTTTTGAACTTATTTTGCTAGCATGGGAATTATTCAAACCGAGAGGGTTCCCATGGTTAAAGGCTATTTCAAGGTCAGGTTGGTCTTACAGTTTCTGTCCTGTGACGAGATGCTGGTTCTTGAGGAGGCGATATAGGGTACTGCCACAGTGAAAAACGGTATGCAAATGGCTCGGAAAGGGCTCAAATTTGGGTTGACACGCCCGTTTTTCCCTGATGGGCGGGGAAACCCAACTTTGAGTCTTTGACAAACCATTCCCAAACCATTTTTCTTCATGGCATTACTGAGGTCGACTCCACGAGCCCCAAAGTCGCTTTCCAGTACATCATCTGCTGGGAGAACCGATTATGGAATGGAGCAATCTCACTAAAAGACTAAATAAACCATCCAGCAACGTAAATGAGACTAGTGACCTTCAGAAAATTCTGGATCGGTAGTTTTCGTACTCGTAGTTCTTAATACTAGTGACTGGTCGTTACGTAGTCTGAGCACCTTTGTGGGTGTGGTATAAGTGTGGTCGTTGGCGTTGTCTTGTAAACATGCAACCTCTTTTATGAGTTTGTGTCTAATCTCATTAAGGGTCTTGCCGGCTCTTTTTCATCTTGCAATAGGTCTGTAATTAGAAACAGCTCAGGTCATCCAGATAGATATGCATGGCAAAAACCGAATGCTCATGTGTCCCCTTACCGTTACCTATCTGCACCTGTCCATAGCGTCTCTAGCCAAGCTAATCGATTCACCTAATCGATAATAATCCTCTAACGACATCTGATTATTGTGAATAACATCTTGCCATGAGAAGGATCTTGGGAACAGTTATACAACAAAAAGATTTAAATTTATTCATCGTTATGCTCGAAATGCACGATTTTTCTGCCCTTTCCCCTCCTTTTTTTNCTCAATTGCTTTCACTGGAAACTTACTCATAACAGTTACTGTCTGTTCTGAAATTTTGTCATTCATTGAACAATGCCCAAACGGACATGAACTATGACAAAGAGTTCTTTTCACTTTGAATTTTTTTCACATTTTTCTTATTTGCATAGTTGTATTAAGTTTTTTCCCGAAAGAGATGACCCAATTTAGCTAGTTTCTATATGGGAGCTTTGTACCAAGAAGGCTTCTTGTTGATGCGTTAAGCCGGTTGTTTACTGTACAGCTTACGATACTGTTTCTCGCCCCTGATCGTGTTTGAATTTCCCGTCTTGGTCAGGGATGACACAGTACAAATATTACATCCTTCTCTCTCCGACTTTGTCTTTAAACCCCTGTTTTTACCTATATTTCTCGTAATTTCAGGGTATCGTTGGTACGACATCATCCGGTAAGACCTCTTTGGTCCATCGATATCTCACGGGAACCTTTACGGCAGAAGAGAGTCCAGAAGGTAGTTATTACTGTTTTTCTTCTGTTCTCGTCAGCTGAATTGATCTTGCGAATGAGTTTTTCTGTGGTCGCGCTGGTATTCTTCAACATTCTTTGGTGTTGTGAAAAGTATGGGATTGTATACGGCGACTCACTTCCCATGGGCTGTAAAAATGATTCGCCATTTCTCAGTTCGGGTCAGTTGGTTCAGGGAGGGCGGAATGCAATCAGATCAGTCGGTCAGGGTGTTCAAAAAAAGTTTCCAGCCATCGAACTAGGCCGCACCCGTGTGTGCATAATAAATAAATAAATGAATGAATAGGTAAATAGACTCCTTCTACTCACGGGATAGGCGCAGGTTCTGTACATACCTTTTTTGGTAATTTTAGCAGCATAAACTGATTTTAGCAGTTAAAACTTGGATTTCACGCCTTCCAACAGGGGCTTTGGTTTGCTACTACCAGCTGTTGACTATTTAAACCGCCTTTCTAGAAGTGCACTACAGCGGTGACTTTTGAATATTCGTTGTGGGTGGCTAACAGGTCATTGTTGTGCTTTATGGGGGTAACAACTGCGCCGTATAGAGTCAGCGGTCACCGTCTGTTTGCGAAGGTTGTGAGAAAATGATGACTGGTCAGCGACGAACAGGCTGTTCGGTGTCGTCGTTTTTTTTATAGCTGCAATTGCCTTCTCGTTCACAATTTTTTATTACTCCTTGTTCAACAATGGTTCCTGCTCGCATGCATTTATACTTCCTAGGTGGTCGCTTCAAAAAGGAGGTGTTTATTGACGGTCTCAGCCATTTACTACTGATTCGAGACGAAGGAAGTGCTTCGCCGGATGTTCAGGTACGATATGATTCATGCTTGATTTTATTTGATAGGTTTGACAATTTGATCGAAATTTTCGTGCCATGTGCACGACTTGCACGTTTCCCACAAAAACGTGCACAAAACAAGAAATGTTTTTTCATTTTTTCCTCATTTTTTTCTTACTCCACCTTGTTTGAAACTTGCTGCTCCCCGTCTCACCCCTCGAGCTCTACTTCCTTCCCACTCACCCACCCCCTCTCCTTCTGTTGCAATTGGTTAGGTTAATGGCCAAGCAGGAGCTAGGACAGTGTAACTTCTTAGGGTGTAATTGATGACGAGTACAGGATTAACTCAAGAGCTAGGTGAACCTTGCTTAGTCATCTGGAGCAGATGGTGTGATTGTGGTAGTGCCAATGTCAAGAATGGATCAAGTCCTTCTCTTTTTGCCCTCTTGAGACTTCCTCTGTCGTCTCCATCTGCTTTCTTTCCCACCCTAGACGTCTCGTACAAGGGGAACCCAGGTCTAAAAGGAGGAACACATTGTACAAGCCCAAGTGATATCTGTATCGATCGGTATTGATTGGTCACTATTGGTAGTTTCGAATCGTGGCAGCCAGATTTACCCTGGAAAGTAAAGCTAATGTCAGACTGACTGTCAAGGGATAGTAGAAGTACATACTGTTAGGGGTAGAGCAGTAATGTTGGATGAACTGGGGAAGAAGTGTGAATTGGCAGGTGGCAGAAAAGTCCTCAGATCTTAATTTGATTTCAACTAATATTATCACCTTTATATGACTGCTCCTCTGTTTTTTTTTTCAAAGATTAAATTTGTTCTTTCCTTCTCGTACACAACAACAATGTCTTCATTTTATTTGCTGTATAGTTTATGTTTTAATTTTTACTTTATGGATAGTTTTCGGTTTCTTTTGAAAAGTATCGTGGAGAATCAGTGTCGCCTTTTTCAGTTTTCCTTGTGGGCCGACGCAGTGATTTTTGTGTACAGTGTCGACAACCAGGATAGTTTCGAACGAGTTCGGCATTTCTACAGTCATATGAACAAATTTCGAAACGTTGCCGATATGCCAGTGTTGTTAGTCGGTACAAAGGTAATTTCTTCGAAATAATTTTCAAAATACACTCCATCTTTGATACGTAATGCTCTCGATTCCTCCCGACCCCTTGTATTTACAGGACTTGTACAATTTCCGATTGGGTCCGTTTATTGATTTAGGGGAAAGTCTGTCAGTGATTTCTTTTTTTTTATTTACAAGTGCTAGGATCATCCAGCGCCGATCCTGTGGCGCCATTACAGGGACAGATGTTTCGTCCTGTTTGCCACATAGCAACTAAGTGTCACCTTGTCATAGTCTAATCAAAGACTTGTTCAGGATACTCTTTCGGAGAAGAATCCGCGAGTGATTAGCGAAGAGGAGGGCAAGCAGATGGCAAACCATCTGAAGCGTTGCGCTTACTATGAGACGTGTGCGACGTATGGGTTGAATGTCGAACGAGTGTTCAAGGATGGTAAGTTTTTTTTTGATGATTGGGGTGACTTTGAAAGCCACTCAGAAGGGGCGTATAGCTTGAACTTAAATGTAAAGGAGCGGAGTTTCGAGTCATGTCGAGTTAGAAGCCATCAGAAGAATGAAGTAAAGAAAAGGTGATAAGTTGGGGCAAGGAGATATTGATCTGGTCCCTATTTTTTGAAGATTCGACGAA